TTGACCTTAGAAAACACTCAACCAAATCAAGGCTAACAATTACTGAGATAAAAAAAGTAATTTTAATTGGAAAATGCTAATAATGGTAATTCACTCCAGAAGAGGTAAGCACTATATGGAATAGCTAATTACACCTGAGATGCAAATTACATCCAAGACTGATACCAAATTTATTATAATAAATGGACTGAACCATTTATTTTCAGCCTGCAAGGAATAATAGCAGTGAGTACTTAAAATACATTTTCCAGTTTCATCATATGCATTTTCCAGTGATTTCCCCTACACTTAATAAAAAAATCCAACTCTCTAAGGCTTTCAGATCACTCTTCTGGAAGAGTCAACATTCCCAATGCAATATATCAGCAGCCTAATAGACTTTTAGACTGTATTCGAAAAGCCAGAAATAAAAGCTGTATTTGTAGACTCCCAAATTATCTACTGAAACAATCCTTTTAATTTCCTAACTTTTAAAATGCATCTTTGCTTCAAATTAGGTCAGTCAGCAGACAGAGATGGTAAGAAGGTGGAACAAAGACTGACTATTTTTCTGCATCTCTGGACTAGTGAAACAACATGAAAAGTAAAAGAACAGAAGGAAGTTTACGACACACCAATAAATGTTCCATACCAGTGACCTGTACAGTCAAATCCAAGCCTGAGGAACCACCTACCTTCTGTTTTCTAAATGCCTCTGTAGTTTTAATGGGATAAAATTACACAAGGGCCAAGACTGGAATGGACCTCAGGAGATCACCTAGTCCAAACACCCTGCCTAAAGCAGGGTCAGCTAAAGCAGATTGCTCAGATTATTGTCCAGTTGAGTTCAGAGTATCAACAAGCATGGAAAGAAAGTCCACGCCATCCTCTGGTCAATGTGTCATCAACCTCTCCCAATAACCTTCTTGTACTTCCTGTGTTTCAAAACGGTTTCCAAAATTATTTGCTCCATCACCTTCCCAGGGACAGATCTGAGGTTGATGGGCCAGTACGTCCTTGAATCCTCCTTCTTACCCTTCATGAAGATAAGAAGTGATGGTTGCTTTCAAGCAGCTCTCAGAAGCCACCCCCTGTTGTCATGACCTTTCAAATGCAGTTGAAGAGTCCTGCAACGACATCAACCAGATCCTTCAGCACTCATGTATGCACCCCACCAGGTCCTCTGAACTTTTATATGTCAGGCTTGTCTAAACACTTCATAGTCTGATCCTCCTCCACCAAGGGTAAGTTTTCCTTGCTTCGGACTCTCCTTCTGGTCTCACGGGCCTGAGGTTCCTGAAGGCAAGTCTTATCAGTGAAGACAGAAGCAAAGAATTCATTTGGTACATTGGTCTGTTCTGCATCTCTTGTCACTGTATTCTCCACCCCATTCAGCAGAGGATCATTTCCCCAGTCTTCCTTTTGCTGCCGACACACCTGTAGAAGCTCTTCTTGTGCTTCACATCCCCCACCAGATTCAACTCCAGGTGCTCTTTGACTTTCCTAATCCCACCCTTGTATACACTCAGACAGGGTCTCTGTGGTCTTTCTGGGTCACTTGACCCTGCTCCCACCTCTCGTACATTTCCATTTTGTGTTTGGATTTCATTAGGAGCTCCCTGTACATCCATGCAGGACTCTTCACTTTTTCTGTATTTCCTCCTCATCACAATAAGCCATTCTTGAGCTTGGAGGAGACAACTTGAACAAAATGCAAAGAGCTCTCCTGGACCCCTCTTCCCTCTAACACGCTCCATTTCTCCTAGGCTACTCCATAATATAACTCAAGACTACTAAACCGCCGAAATGTTTCAGCCAAAGAGAGCTGTTGGATCTTCTGGAAAACCTCTTCATTAACACTGTATTATGTAAGTAACATCAGTTTTATTTACTGCAAATTGAAAGGTAATTTCAACACAATGATCTGCCCTTTGCCACGTCAGCTGCATCAAAATTAATTATCAAGATAACCTGAAAGCAATTCTATTACTTTAGCACTTGTATAATTCACTAGTAACCAAGTGCTTATCATAACCTAAACCTGAAAAACACAGGAAAATTGAACAAATACAAAAACATGACCAAGGCTTTTCAACTTTATTTAAACAGGTACTACACTCCTGTTCCATCTGCTAAATATATTCATTTTTTTTATAACACTTAACTTGCCACTATTCTAAACACACTTATTAAAGGAGTGTGCCTCATGATCTGACTCTGACACCTTACAATATCTAGTAAAAAAGAAACTCAGTTACAGCTTATGCAGCCAAGGAATCACAAACTACACATGCTGAAGTGATGCTGGCATATTAGCAACAGAGGAAAAAAGTCTCAGCTGTTAAAATGTGGCATAAATAGCACTTCACAGAAGTTTAATTTCTTTTAAAAAATAGATTAGAAAAATAAAGTAATTCTCAAAGATTAAATCCTCTAGAAAAGTAAACAGGTCCATGAAAATTTATTTATTATCTGGTCTGCTTATAGCACTTCGACATGTCCTCATTTAATTTGCTGCTGCAAAAGATAAAAGAAAGTGAGTAAAACCTTATTAATCAGTTTAATTTACACACCAAGTGATAAAGTGACACCTAGTGACAAAGAGATGCAACTATTTATTTTAACATAGCTGAGTGTTTCAATTGAAAACATGATCTTCCCAGATCAGTACCAGCTTTAGAGATTTTTTTTTAAATGCAATATGGAATAATAAATATCATCAGAAGCTAGTGCACTGTTAACTTCTATTTAGCAAAACCGAAAAATTAAATGAAAATCAGTAAGAATTTAAACCCAACAGTGTCTATTTGCAAAAGAAAATGAACTATTTAGATGAGCATTTTTTGCACATCTCCAGGCTACATTGAGAAGAGCTCTATCTCCACCTACTGGACCAGCTACAAAAGTGTTTGTATTTTGAAAACAGCACAGGAGGGACTGCAAAGCCATCTATATGAATAGGCAACTCAACTATATTGAAGATATTTCTCTGAGAGAAGTTTTTCTTCTCCTTGCTGTTAGCTCTCTACATGCTATATGTTTGAGACATTACACTTCAGTGTTTAATCTTGCCTGAACCAGATCTTAAGCTTGCGTCCACAGCCAAATACTACCTGTGTTCAAAATACTGAGGCTGAGTGCAGGAACTTTTATCCTTTTGGGTCGTACTGGATTTAAAACAGTATAAGACTATCAACACACACACACACACACACACACACACACACACACACAAGTCTAACCTGGATTATGGTTGTGGTTTTGTTTGGGGTTTTTGTGGGTTTTGTTGTTGTTTTTGTTTTTAATTCCAGTGTATGTATATGAGCACATTCATACTGATGCCTCAAGTTGGATAATTCACCAGCATTGTTAAGTTTAAGAACAAAACAAAACCAATCTCTCCTCTGAAATATTCCCTATTCTTTCCACCAACAGACAATATTCTGTTTCCTGAAAGTCTGTATGTTTGTAAATGTTTCACAGAATCACAGAACGTTAGGGA